ATAGGTTTCAAGGTTGATTTATACAAATTTTGGACTTGCAATTTTGGCTATGGCACAAGGTACAAGGAGATATATACTCCATGAGTTACATAACTTTTATTTCTAATCAATCATGTCAAGGAAAAAACTAAAATAACTTTTTTTTTCATTTTATAACATAGGAAGGGCGTATGAACAATGGTAAGAGGAGGGTGCAATGGGAGTGAATGGGTGTGATTGTATTCAAACACACCAGCCATCCCTACGCCTTACTAACAGACAATAATGGCTTTTTGTGATAATTGAAACCGTCAAAACAAAGGTACTTGACTGGGTATATGCTTCAAAGGCTGCCAAGTTAGTCATATTTGGTTCAAGTCACAGGGCCATTTCTGAAATAGGACAAGATTGTTGCAATGAAATTTATACTTAAGCATGGTAAAAGTGAGAAGGACATGCAGAGTTTGAGACAAGAAATTGAGGTGTTTACCTTATTCCCGATAATTTTAGTTTGTGTAATTCTGTTCAAACTTCTTCTTGTCATCCATTACAATGGTTGTTGTTTAGATTATGGATTAGTTCAACTTTCATTAATTCTCTTCCTTTTATTCCATTTATTTACTGAAAAAGAATTAGTTGTATTCTTAATCAATTATGCTTTTGATTCTTCAAACTGGAGCTGGTATGTAACGAACAACTCATATTATGGATTTTGTTATTCGACTTTGGTGGAATGACGCACTATTATTATTTTTAGGTTTTTACATCAACATTTTGGGAACAAAAATCGATTTTTGGCGGAATGGTAACAACTAATCTAAACCTTGATTGTTGTTTCTGTAATATGCACTACATCAATTATTCTTGCAAGGTAGAATGACTTGCTTCCTTCTATTTTTTCAAGTATGCTATTCTTATTGTTGTCATTTTAGATAGATGATTACTATAAGCTTGGTAATTTAATGTCGTTTAGTTTTTTGGAATGTAATGACTCATTCAGATTCCATGGTCATTCCATTCCACTCCTTTTTGATTCCATTCCAATTATATCATGTTATTTATCTATTAACTTTTTATCCAACATAATTTGCCTCGGTTTTTATTACCTACAAATGAAGTTGTCGGGGGAGGAGTTGTTCCAGTTGAATTCAAGATGTTTATAGTAATTTGACATGTAAAAAAAATCTTCATTAAAATGTTTATCACAAAGTAAGTTACGATTTTTCTATGTCTGTTGGATGACAAAACTATTTTCTGGTATTGATGTGTCTAGAAATGGAATTGCTCCTATCGTAATCTTGCAATCAATGAAAAATATCTGACCCGTGCAACGTACGGGTCTCTTTACTAGTTGTAATATAATATCATATGTGAAAAAGCATGGAGAATTTTACATTGTAACCACAGGATCACCCATTCTGCAATTGTTCTTGTCTGGATATGTTTAACTACAAAGTTCTTGTTGGATTTGCTGCATTCATGATTTTAAAACATGTTGTGACCGGCTTTAAAATTCGTTGTGACAAGGAAATATCTACACCCCTTATAATGAATGTTTAGTTATCCGTCCCAATCAATGTGAGATCAGGTATAAGTAGTCATCCACCTTCAATACAACAATATATAAAATTGCGGTAAGATACCATTTTTCATCAGACAAATAAAAACATAGTGATTTACAGTAAGATAAAATGTCAAAAAAAATAAAGTACACTATAGTAAGACAATATCATTTGTAGACAAAGAGAATATAGTAATATTACATTAAGATAAACCTCTAACTTAGACAAAGAGAATACAGTAAGATTATAGTAAGATAAATTCATTATCATTTGTCTGAGTGATGGTATTATCTTAACATAACTTTTCAATATTCTCTCCATTTAACAGATGATATTACATCACTATAATCGACAATATTTTTTTTTGTTTTATATTATGTTACTGTAATGTTAATATATTCTCTTTGTATGATGGAGGGTTCTATCTTTAACTCAATCATATATATTTTTTATGTTTGACATGATATCTTATGTCTAAATATAATTGTTTTTTTTGTCATTTTTTGATCGAAATTTTAATTTTATAGTAAGATAAAATCTTCTGTCAAACAGAGATAATACAATAACGTAACAGTAGCAAAACATTCACTGCCAAACAAACAAAATAGAATAAGATTGTAGTATGATACAATTATTTGTCCTTTTTTTTGTTAAAAAAATTCATGGCTTTATCATTAATGAGTCTAAAATATAAGGAATTCTCAAATTCAAAACCAAAATTAGTGACTAACACCAAATAAAACATAGTCTAAGATAGTTTCAAAGGCCTTTACATTTGATAAAAAAAACAGACAAAACAACATTCAAATTTCATTTTTCCTTTTCTTTCCAACATCTATAGTCTTCCCTTTCCTGATTATCCTTCCACCCCCTGTGCTCTTTGTAGGTTGTGATACACCAACTTTTTGACCTTTGCAGCTCCTTGCATTATGACCATAATATAGTTACACTTTAGCATGTCACATATTTCTTTGACACACCATATCATCTAATTATGTAGTTGTTTTCTTTCTTTTCTTTTTTGGTATACTAATAGGTAGAAGTAACATGGTTGGACATGTTGATTTATCTCATATGGTCCTTCTGTTGATTGGTTCAATATTGAAGGAATAAATGTCCTTCTATGTTTGCAACCAATAAGTGTGATGAACCCAATTTGAAGATCCCAACATCGTGCTTGTTTTGTCTCATATCTTATATGGAAAAAAAATGTATGTTTACGAGGTATGCCTATGAGTTTCCACTTCTTAAAGGAACATGTTTGCTGACCATGTCTAGAATGCATTGGTCTATCCATGATCTAAGGTAATAGTTGCCTTAACCACTAAAAACCTCTTATTAAAGGCATCTTTAGCGGTATATTTTGATTGAAATGAGTTCCACAAATTTGTTGCATATTCAACGTTTTAGTAGACATCTACAAATGTAATCATCATTCTCAGATTTAGTTCGCTTCTTGGTGTGTCCAATGTCTCGTCTTTCATCACTTTTGGCATGAGGGTACTCAACACATACATGATTACATGATTTTCAAAGTTGTTAGAAGGATTTGTGTCGTCGTTACCGTGTCTGAAATCATTTTCTTTGAATTTCTCAAAATTTCCAAACTTTGATGTCATATCTTTCATAGAGTCGAAGTTATTCATGATTATCAAAGTAGAAAATTATCAATTAAGATTGTTTGGACATGGAAGCAATTTCAGTGCCAATTTTGATAATCGTCTTTTTCTTGAAAATAATAGTTGATTGTTTATGATTCACTGTCCCTTAACAGATAATTTGACAATATCTTTTATAATTCAATTATATGCCTGAATTACATGAATTTCGATATAAGATAATCCACACGATACAGGTCAGTTTTTAGGCACAAAAGTTAAAGAAATGTACTAAGATTAATGTGATGATTGCTCAAATTCTTGTGAGAGCCAAAAACTAAAGTATTAAATTATATATATACTCATAATATTCAATAAATATATAAGAATGGCTAATTAGTTTAAAACCGTTACATAGTGAGAGTAGTTTTCTAGCTCCAAGTTGACCAAAGTCTGCCCTAAGCTGACCCTATCTGACTAAAATCAGCTCCAACTTAGTCCACTACTTCTCAGATCAAGCGATGGAGATGGGGTCAAAATCTACATGAGCAAGCAAACAACATTACTTCTGATATATACAAACCTGTTTACAACCACAAAACATCTTAAAACTTCTAGTCATATACATGGCAACAAGTTAGTTTTTGTTGATATATATAAATTGTATTCAGGTTACTTTTTTTGCTTTTTCATGAGATATCTCCTCCATGGAACGTCAATTGGACAAGGCTTTTTGATTTTATTATATGTGAAAAGGAGTGATTTATAATGTGCAAGAGTTTTACATGTAATGAGGTTTTAAGGAAAACTATGTTAATCTCAACTAAAAACACATTACTGAAAACAAGAACTAATCACATTATCAGAAGCTACTAATCCGCCATTGTTTCTGTTCTTGGCTGCTTCCTGGTTTCAATCAAACCCTTCAAGAACGCATCCACAATCTGCTTCTGTGACTCCAATATCAATTGGTTTCGTTTCATCTCTGTCTCCATTCGCATCCTTTCAATCTCCCTAGCCATGTCTATCTTCATCTTCTCCATCTTCATGAACCCATCTCCCAATAGCTTAATCGAAGAAGCCACCTCCTGTATCCCTCCATTCCCTCTTTTTTTCCCCTGATTCGGATTAGGATTCCAACTGTTACCGTTTTGATGGTTCCCCTGAAACAAATTTGTGTTTCTAGGCACTTTAACCCACACTTCGCCATCTTCATCGACTTCATGTTCATGAACAACCTTGCTAAACTTTCTTGCTGGTCTGAGGTGGGCGGGTTCATGGTGAGAAGGATTCGAGGGTTTTATACGAATTCCACCGGTGAACGGAGAAGTCTTGTGATTTTTGTACCCCGGGTGAATCGGGGTTTCGCTGATTGTGGAATCATCAAGATACCCATCTTCGTTGTCGTCTTCTTGATTAGACCAGTTGTTCGTGTATGAGGAATTGGGATTTGAAAACCTGGAATCGAAATCAGGGGTATGATTGGTGGAACTAGCTGCTAACGTTACCAGATTCTGAACAGAAGAAGGTTTAAATCGAATTCCACGACCTGGATTCAAGCTCTGATGATCCGACACAGGGGTTGCGTTGTTGATTGCCAGATTGGTCGAATTATTGTTACCCGGTTCCGAACTGGGTCCATTTTCCATGGCCTCCATGGCTTCAAAGTAGAACCACGACGAGAAGAACCGACCACCGGGGAACGACGACGCGCGCTGCTTCTCGGCGCGGTGGCGCTGGCGGAGCTTCTCCATCTTGTGGCGGCACTGGGCGGAGGTCTTTGGCGGAGTTACATCCGGGCATGATGTCGTTACCTTCTCAGCCACCGTGTCCCAGTCAGGGTTTCGGAGGAAGGCACGGTGGAGGGCGTACCATCGCTCACGGTAAGCCTCGATTAAAACAAGCGCCTCGTCACGCGTCCAACACGGCGGCGGGAATTTCCGGACTGGCTTGACGGCGACGGTGGTGGACATGGGATTGGATCTGAATCTTGAGAGGATTGGTGGTGATAGAACGGAGGAAAGATTAATCTTGGGATGATTTGGGGGAGGTGGATTGGAGTAAATAAGAGGGTGGGATTGGGTGGTGGGTGGGTGGGTGTAGATAATGACGATGGAGGATGGCGATGGTAGGTATGACGTACGTCCACCCCACTAGTAGTCGACCACCCCACCACCGAACCCATACTTTACCCGTTGACTTTTCAACTTTACACCACACAAAGACCACAAATTAGAGTGAAGATGGTGGTGGGTATGGCCGTGGGTGGATAAGGGTTGATGGAGGCTGCCCCCACTGTCTACGGGAAAGTTAATTGTAGTAGTGCACTGCATAGGGCTAGGGTGGTGTTCATTATCACCATATAAAATCTTATTGCCTATTTGTTTATTTGCTTTTATAGAGGGTGATTTAATAAATATGATATTTCTTTTCATAATAAATAGTACACGAATATGTGTTGACTGAAATGTTTAAACAGAATAATTATGTAAATATTTTAGATATTAAGAAATCTAACCTATTTGAATATAATAACCAAAAAGTTTTTTTTAACAAAAATAAACACTTTGTCTAGATTGAACACAAGAAAAAACACATTTCTGACTGATTCGGAACGGCATTCCGGATTCCAGACTAAAACTTTTTATTTCCGAAAAAAAAATATTGAATTTTAAGAACAAGTCCGAAATCCGAACAATAATTACGAAATTACAAGGGAAAAATAACTTTTTTTAATTTAAAAAAAAATAAACAAACAGAAATATATACAAAAGCCACGATTTCACTATAACTTTGTTAGCATTTTCCTAAGATCATCCGTTATACCCACCACTAACCACTATAGTGGTGGGTGTCACATCATCACCACATCCAACCACTAAACCTATGAGATACCTACCATTATATACCTCTTATTTTTTAATTTTTAAATAAAAAATATATTTTTTATTGTAGAGAGAGGTAGAAAAAGTTAGAGAGAAAGAATTTGATTGGAAGTGGTGATCTGTGGTATGAACAACAATTCACCACGACCACTAAGAACCACTAGGGTTCGGGATGGTGTGCCCTAACCACGGTCGTGGCCACCTAGACCACGACCCATTTCGTGGTATGCATACCGGACGGTCTAAGGTCATTTGTTATATCCAACACTAACCATTATAGTGGTGGGTAACACATCATCATCATTAACTACCACTAAAAGGTTGGGATACTCACCATTATATCTCTCTTATTTTTTTTTAAATAAAAAAAATAAATATTTTTTAATTAATTAAATTGAAGAGAGATGTGGAAAAAGGTAGAGAGAGAAACATACTGATTGGGTGTGGTGGTTCGTACTTCCCACCACAATTGACCATGAAAGTTGTCTATCACTAGCCACCACTAACATATTGAGATGATGTTCACATTTGTGGTTAGGCTGGTGGGTGTGGTGTCACACTTGTCACGGTCAACATCAGCGCCACCTAGGATTTGCCACACTCTCTCTAATTTTTGCCATTTACATGGAGTGGGTTGCTGTAACGATCAAAGTTGAGGTAATTTCTTTTTCCCATTGGATGAATTTTTCTTTGCAAAAAGGTCCTACGTATGTTGGGCATACTGGGGGAAGGTTGGTCGCGGGCATGCACCACATACGCGGGGCATACCAAGCAGTATGCGGGGCGTACGTGGCTCAGGACTAAAACCCTAATTTTACGGCAAGACCCCTGTTTAAACACTTTTATGTTGCTTGGACCTTACCCTGGTCAGCCTCCATAGTCTATTATCGTCCCAAAATCCCCAGATTCTCTTGAGAGTGTAGTCCTTGAGCTTAAAAGTGTTTTGGTGGCCATTTTTAGTGGGTTTCAAGAAGAAGAAGGTTGTGATCAAGCCTTGGATGTTATTGAGCTTTTAAATCTTGCATCTAGTTCATCTTGAAGAACTTCTGGAGGTAAAAAGTCGTAACCTTGCCATCTCTTTTGCTAGTTTGAGTTAGGGTTTTGTTATGAAGTCCATTTTTGGTTCTTGGACCCTCTCTTGTGACTTAAGCAACTCCAGAGACTAGGATTGTTAGATCTAAGCTCCTTGAGCCTGCTTGATGCATAAATATGCCATCTTGAAGGTTGTACTGAGACCATGCTTGAGTTTAAGGTCTCAAAAATGCTCTTAATGGGAGAAATGAAGTATTGGGGACCCATGTAGCATGCAAGGGCATACAGTTGCCAACTTTTTTGTAACGCCCCGTTTATTTAAATAAATTAATAAATGTAAGTCCCGGACTAATTTGTGAAGAATTTTAAA